ACCACACACACAGCCCCCGGGGCCAGCAGCGACAAACTCATGGGCCCCACCGGCACCCACCATACCAGAGCAGATCTAGAGCTAACTATTTCATGTGAATGACAACAGGAGTCGGTGTTGTGCTGAAAATTGTCAGAAGCACTTGTTCCTACTCATAAACTGAGTAAAAATAATATCAAATTAACTCTTAGTTTTCAGTTTCCTTAAGGACATAAGACCCACAATAATAGTTTATTTGTCCACTATTTCTATTAACATACTTTATATTTTTTATTGTATACTTGTTTGTGCGTAGTTGGTCTATATTTTTTGATAATACAATATAAAATTTCTCACTGAGGGACTTAAAAAGTTTTTTTCTTTCTAATAGGGAACATTTACATGTGCATTTATAGCAATGTAAGTTGTCAGAAAATGAAAATAGTTATTTCTAACTAAAAGTTACAACTAAAAATTCACATTACTAGGTTTGAATATAAATGTTTGTAAAAACAGATACAAAAGAGTTGCTTGCTGAACTGAAATCAAACGAACCGAATCATGGAACTGAGTTGGAATTCCCACCCGTGTTTTTCTCTCCTGCGCCTGCCCGCCCTCTGTTCTGATTGGCTGTCGAGGAGACGTGCCTCCTTTTTTTCACAAGAAAAACAAACTGCCCATCAGCGGCGCTTGGTTGTTTTTACCACACAGCAGAGAGATAACATCTTCAAGCTTCAAGAATCACATTTAAAAGACATGTTTCCAAAATATACCAATAATAATAACGAAATAAATAACTATAGGTAAAAATTAAAGAAAACGAGAGAAAAGGACACAAATACATGCCTTCAAAATCGGTCTGTGACTGTGAATTGAATGCTGTTTTTGCCWTCTAGTGGTATAAGGCGGAAGTGCAGCCTTTTTTCTTTTTTTGTCAAGATAAGATCTGTTTTTGTCGCTGAAGTCTGCGGTCGTTACTTATCTTTGTAACAAGGTATGCAGGCAGACAAAAAAAGCAAAAAACAAACAAAACGTTTTGTTCCTTACCTCAGTTGCACGTAGAAACTGGTTTTTATAAAACTTTCGTGATTCAAAATTCTTTTTTTTTTTTCAGAAAAAATATCTTTAGAACAGATAGAATAGAAACAGCCTTTATTGCTATTATTTTTAGTTYAATGCAAAAATATTTACAAAAACTAAAATAATTCAAAACACAGAAGCTACACCTCTAAACTCAGAACTTGTTTTTTTATGTATGGGGGTGTTGCTGTATGTACTTCTGTAAATACCCTGTATGTCCCTTTTTAAGTACCATGTTTGTATCCTGTCGTGACCTCATAAGTAAGCTGTAAGTACTAGTATATACACTGTATGCACTCCTATAAACACTCTGTATGTCTAAGAAACACCCTGTAGTAACCCCATTAGTACACTATAATTTTTCTGTATGYATCTTTAATTTTGTAAAAACCCTGTTTACATGCCATTTGTCCCTTATCAAATACCCTATAAATGTGCCTTGTTTGTTTCCTTGTAAGCACTATGCCAGCATCATGTATGTACTCTAAATACTCTGTTTATCACTATTTTACATCCACTATTTTTCATTCATRTTGGGTCTTCAACTATAAGAGTATGCTGATTAGTTTGCTGGACGTCTTTATGCTGTAATTATTATAAAAATTTGCATGTGTTTCTGAAATTTTACAATGGCTTTTAAAAGTTATACTGTATGGAAGCCCATTTCCGCCACCCTGATAAAAAATAAATAAAATTTGTATCTCATAATTATGACTTAGCTATCTCATAATTATGACTTAGCTATCTCATAATAATGGGATAGTATCTCATAATAATGAGATAGCTAAGTCATGATTATGAGATAGCTAGATAGCTAAGTCATAATTGTGAGATAGTATCTCATAATAATGACTTAGCTATCTCATAATTATGAGATAGTATCTCATAATAATGGGATAGTATCTCATAATAATGAGATAGCTAAGTCATAATAATGAGATAGCTAGATAGCTAAGTCATAATTATGAGATACTATCTCATAATTATGACTTAGCTATCTCATAATTATGAGATAGTATCTCATAATAATGGGATAGTATCTCAT